ATATATATATATATATATATATATATATATATATATATATATATATATATATATATATATATATATAAATCAGGTCGGCGACCTCACAAGGGACAGGTGAGCGAAAATCGGGAATTGATTCGGTGTTCAGTGTAGCAATATATCTTTATATATACATATATGTATATATATATATATATATGTAGATATCAGGTCGGCGACCTCACAAGGGATAGGTGAGCGAAAATCGGGAATTGATTCGGTGTTCGGTTTAGAAACTAGGTATTGATTCGGGGTTCGTTATGCGCAGCAACGACTACAAGTTGTGAAGGGGATCGAGCAGCTTTATACGAACGTTATCGTGGCTATGGCGAAAGGTAATCGAGCTGCGGAACGCGGATCGGCTATGGCGGACGGAGGTGGAGGGTGGAGAAAAAACATCAGAACACGTCCACTAGCAAAACAACAAAACCGGAAATTGATTCGGGGTTCAACAAAATGCGGCAGCGGCGTTATATCCTGCAGGTACAGACAGGGCATCTGGGAATGTGTTCGGACGTCGGACACAGAATAGGACAACTCAAGTTATATAATTTTACCTTCGTCGTGCGTTGAGCGAGCAACCAACGTCGGACGGATATGGATGTGCGACCACCGAACCAGCTATGGTGGAGGGATATCGAGCTAGGAAGAGCGAAGAGCAAAAAGTGAACAGCGAACCGAACACAATGTGGCAACTGCGGACGGAGCGAAGAGCGAAGAGTGAGCGGGCTTTGGCGGAAGGTGGGGGGGGCTGAAGACCAAATATCAGAACGCCCGCGGAAGCGATAGCGCGACTTGATCTGTGGAGCGCCAACAAAAGGGATAACTCGAGGGCTGCAACGCCTTTTATACTTTGCTACAGCAGGCCTCGCGTCGGGATCAAGGTGGGGCCGAATCGATTCGCATATCACACCCCTGGGCCCATAAAACGCCATCAAGGTGGGGCCGAATCGATTCGCGTATCGCACCCCTGGCCCATAAAATGCCAAGGCCTATAAACGGTAAGGGGTACCAAAAATTGTAAGTCGTCGATCAACAATTTTGAACCGCGCAGATGAACGGAGCCACTGATATGCCAGTGGCCCCAAAATCTCCGTCAACTCCGGCGTGCAATGATGTGACAGTTCCCGAAAACAAGGGGCAGGCAATGCCATTTTCCCAGTTCTAATGTGGACCGTCGATCGGCATGATCCGACGCACGAGGTCAGGCGCAAGAATCTATAAGGTGCTGCGATTCGTTGTACGCCGAGGCCAGGCGATTGTATATTTCCCGCCGAGGCGCGGCGATTCGTTGTGGGCCGAGGTCAAAAATACCGAAAATCTATAAGTTCTGGTGTCGCTGTCATTCGGACATTTTGCAAATGTCAACGGCGTTGGATATCGATGCGCTTAGCTATGCACCATCACCATCGATGCGCTTAGCTCATCGCCATCGCCAACACTCGCCATGCACCATCGCCATCGATGCGCTTAGCTCATTGCCATCGCGACACAAAGCTATATCCCCCATCGCAGCCGTCGTGCTCGCTTGACCATCGCAGCGCAGACAATCGTCATCGCTCTCATCGCACCGCTGGCCATCGCTGCGCCATCGCAACGCTGGTACCATAGCTTCGATCGCAACGCTGGTTCCATTGCTGCGCCATCGTTATCGCTGCCATCGCAATGCTGGTTCCATCGATGCGCCATCTCTCAATCGGTGCGCCATCGTTATCGCTATCGCTGCCATCGCTATCGCTGTTCCATCGCTGTGCCATCGCTCTCCACCGGTGCGCCATCGCTATCGTTGTTCCATCGCTGCGCCATCGCTCTCCACCGATGCGCCATCGAAGAGTCATCGCTATCGCTGTTCCATCACTGCTATCGCTGCATTGTAACTCATTCCATCGCTGCGCCATCGCTTTCCACCGGTGCGCCATCGCTCTCCACCGCAGCGCTGACCATCGCTATTGAAGCCCTGGCCAGTGTTATCCCACCGCAGCGCTGCGCAATTTCTCTCTCCATCGCTGCAAGATCTCCCTCCATCGGGGAGTGATCACTCTCCATCTCACTCCATCACTGCGCGATCTCTCTCGACCACCGGGCAACCTCCATCCTTGCCCTAGAGGCTCTCCATTACTCCTGCGCGATCCCGCCATCGCCATTGTATTGTTGTTTCAGGCCGTCGTCGGTGCAGCCGTCCATCACTGTGGAATCACACGAAACAAGTGACAGGTACGCTTAACGAAGGTTTAACTCAATGGAACTGATGTTGTGCAATAACAAATCTTGGTCATCGTTGTGCCTTCTCTCTCCATTGCTGCGGCATCGCTGACCATTGTTACGCGTCCTCTCTCCATGTCTCTCCACCGACGTGCAATCTCTACCGACCTTTCGTCATTTATCCCCATTACTGCGGTATCTTTCCTAATTTATCTCCTTCGTCATCTATCTCCTTCGGTGCGCTATCTTTCCTAATCTATCTCCTTCGTCATCTATCTTCATCGTTGCGCTATCTTTCCTAATCTATCTTCATCGTCATATCTAATTGTTTCGGTGCGCCATCTTTCATCTTTGTTGTGCTATCGGTAACCATCGCTGCCTACTATCTTCATTGTTGCGCCATGTTTCTCCATCGGTGCGCAATCTCTCTCTCTCGCTGCGGCACATCTTCAATCAGTTCGCGATCTCTTTCCCTTCCTGCGCCATCTACCTTCTTCCCTGGAATATACAACACACTTTAATTATAGTTGTCTTTAGACTGAAAGATGACCCGAATTCAGCTGTAATGACCGGACGTTGTATTTGGGGGAAGACTGTGACTCCATCCATCTCTCTTGGTGCATCATCTCTCTCATTCGGTGCGCCATCTCTCTCCATGTATTTTCATCGATGCGCCGTCTGCCCATCGCTTCGCAATCTTTCTCCATCTTAAAAAATAGTACGCCATCTTTCCCTATTTCTCTCTTGCGACGATCTGTGGCTCGTACTACACGCAGAACAAGCCGGAAACAACTTGCACCTGTACCCGCAGTTTCGTAATGGAAATGCTCGTTTACAAGTGCGAATTCATTCGCTCTTGAACCAACCAACCCCTTAATTTGTTATTGTTTAGTCCATAGGTCAGAATTAATTCCCACTTGTTCCCCCAGTTTCGTAATGAAAATGTCCGTTTGCAAGTGCGAATTTATTCGCTCGTCAACCGACCATCCCCCTAAATTTCTTACTCTTTAGTCCATAAGTCCCAGTTTCATAGTGGAAATGCTCGTTTGCAAGTGCGAATTTATTCACTCTTCAACCAACCATCCTCCTAAATTTGTGACTCTTTAGTCCATAAGCATCAGTTTCATAATGGAAATGCTCGTTTGCAAGTGCGAATTTATTCGCTCTTCAACCAATCATCCCCCTCAATTTGTTCCTCTTTAGTCGATAAGTCGCGTCTCTTCTCGATCCAAAAGAATGAAGTCCTTTTGTATTTGCGAGTTAACTCGCCACTGAACCAACCACGAAGGCAATTTCTTATTGCACGGCGTAATTGAAATGTTCCTCTGAAGTGCGAATTTTTTGGCACTTGAATTTTTTTGCTGTTTAGTGGATAATACCGAATTGACTCGCACTTGTGTTCGCTCTTGTTCCGACCATGAACTCATATTCTTACTGTACGTTGAATAAACTCGCATTTTTACTCTCGCCTAAAAAAG